TTTTGTGGACAAAGAAATTGTATTTGCGCACTTCGTTTTCGTTTCTGAAGTTTCTTATTTTGATGGAAGTTTTTGAGTAAACGACCGTTTCAAATATTAGCCTTTGCCAAAATATTATGTAATAATGCTTATAGTTAGTCCAAATTCAGATTTAGCATTATAATTTAGACTATAGACAGTTCACCATTTAGTTTTGTTTATCATCTTGTTTAGTTCGAAGAAGAAAATTTTGATTTTTAATTTGAATATTCTTTTTATAGATTGATAGCACAAGGGATGTATGTTCCATAGCTTTTCATCCTCTTTAAGGTGGCTATTGAGTTCTACTTCTTTATGCTTCTTGTATGACTTGCCCTTTTGCTAAGCTTTAATTTTGTACACATATTTGCTTAGCAATTTTATGAACATTACGGTGAGTATTGGATTTTGTTTCAGTTCACTTATATGTCATACGTGTGCTTTAGTTGGACAAGGTGGAAATAATTGAGTCAACACTTTGGTAGCTCCTTGCTGCTTCCTGACCCCAGAGAACCTTCCTTCCTCCTAACCCCTTCAACCCACCTTCTTAACTATGGCTGAAGAGAAAGAAGTAAAATCCTTCAAGGACTTGGGAGTAATTAAAGAATTGGTTGATGCCTGTGACAATTTGGGCTGGAAAACACCCACCAAAATACAAATCGAAGCTATTCCTCTTGCCCTAGAAGGAAAGGACATAATTGGGCTCGCCCAAACAGGATCCGGTAAAACTGGAGCCTTCGCCATCCCAATTCTTCAAGCCCTTCTCCAAACACCGCAACCCTTCTTCGCCTGTGTGCTCTCACCAACACGTGAACTTGCCATCCAAATTGCCGAACAGTTTGAAGCCTTGGGATCTGACATTGATGTCAAGTGTGCAGTGGTAAAATACCTTACTTTAAAATTTAGCTACTAATTGAAGGATATATAACTTTTGTAACAACCATTTTCTGTTTCGTTTTTGAATTGGTGGATCTTACTATTTATTAGAGGCATTAAATTTTTTTGGCAGCTTGTGGGAGGTATAGACCTTGTGCAACAGAGCCTTTCTCTTGGGAGGCGGCCGCATATTGTTGTAAGCCTTGTTTGTTTTCCTGTGCACTCAAGTGTATTTGTGACTACCTTTTAAACTGTGCATTCTACTAGATTTTTGCACAGCATTTTGATTTTCAGTAGTGCCTCGAATATATGAGGTGGCCCCCTCGGATCAGCGTAAGCTTTGACCTTAATAGATGAGATTAGTATCCAAAGCAGCTTTACTTTGTGTAGAGATTGTGTTGTTGTCACTTGGATGGAAGAGAAGCAAGGAATCTCATCTGAATTTGATCTTTCACTTCCTTAATATTGGTGGTTATAATTTTAAACATAAAGAGCTA